GGCTGTGAAGAGCTACAGAAAGATCTCTGAGAGCTTCAAGAGTGGTCGAAATAATGACTGATAGGATTCAATATCACAAAGTGTAAGATGATGTACCTGTCATACCAACGGTAAGGAGGCGTATCATATGTCCCAACGGGACAAACAATCTGCATTAATAGAGACTGAATCCGAAAAAGACCTGGTTAGCCTATGTTGACAATGAGCTAAAGTTCTCGGGACATTGTGAAAAGAAGGTGGGGTGCTTCCCCGCCTACAGTACTGTCACCCCGTCTGGTCCTCGAGATATGCTAGGGACTGTCAGTTGATTAAAAATGTCCAAAGGACGGGTAAGGGGTGACCTAATTAAGGTGTACAAACATCTCAAAGGGCACTACTCAGTCGAGTGTCCATGTATGGAGCTGGCGGATGCCCGCCCCACACGGGGTCATAACTCATGGTTGAAGAAGCCACAAGTCTAGAAAACTGTGAGGACAAACTTTTTCGGACTGAGAATTGTGAACTCTTGGAACAACCTGCCATAGAGTGTTATGACGGCAATGAGTGTGAGTTCTTTAAAGGCCAGACTTGACCATCACTGGAGAAGGTTCAGATGCATTCAGGAGCCAGTGCATGCCCATTACTTCCCAACAGTGCGTAACAGAGACGCGACCAACCACCCAAGCCGCTAACGAGCCGATCAGTGACGAAGAGGATGAAAATAAAAATGTAAAAGTATCTGGAAGAATCTACAGATACAACACACCATGCTCAGTTGATGGTACTGTTGTTATGAGGCACCAATACGAAGGAAAATTTTTCCGAAGAATTCCTCTTCTGTAAGCTGATTCCAAAAACTACTTGAGGTATAGATATTTTCAAGGAAGTCAACTATATGTTGTCGAAAACTAAATTGAATGATCAAAATGTATTGCAGTGTACAGACAGTGAGCTGCTGTTGTGCCTAGAAGTAAAAAAAGGTGACAACAGGTACAAAACAAGTTCACTGCATGATTCATCATGAACATTTAGCTCCACAGGAAATTGGGGAAGAAGTCTATAATAACGTAATAAAAAGCAGTGCTTTCAATGCAAAATCATTCAGTATTTTGTGCAAAGAAATAAGTCTGATCACAAGTATTTGTTCCATCACACGAAATTTTGATGGAAAAGTACTGCAATGAGTCCTGGAACTGAAAGAAAAAATCATCTGTTATCATCTTAATTGAAAAGTGAATATACTTAGGATCGTACTTATCAGATGTACAGGGTGATTCAGCAAAGAGTACATTATATTGGAGAATGAAATCCTTGGATAATTCTAAACCACAATGACTCCATGGTAAAATGCCGGATTCTGCACAGTTGCCCACGTGTTCGTGACAGGTGCGAGCAAATTAAACATAGTCCAGGCAGACAATCAATGGTACCACATGTACAGGCCTGCACTGAGGCAGTAGGGGGCAACTTTGAACATTTCCTTTAGGTTGTAGGAACACTGTAAAGATCTGTGAATAAATGATTACAAAAACCTACGGGGGTTTCACTTCAAATTCACTCTCACTAATACAACATCTTAGATGTATTGTAACATGGAAACTACGCAGAAACTGATATTTTACCATAGAGGCATTGTGGTTTAGAATTATCCATGGATTTCATTCTCCTATTTAATGTACTCTTTGATGAATCACCCTGTATAAGAAGAAAAAAATCCACTCAACTTTTCTCTTCAAGGAATAATACTGTACTAATACAGTATTTTGTTTTTCAACATTAATTTAGAAACTTTTAAAGCTAAGCTTAGAAATTGATCAGATGCTTTTGCCATAGGTAAAACTAATATGTGTGATTACCTTAATGATTCTGTAACATAAAATAAGATTTCTCTTGCCACAGAAGTATGTGGAATCATAAAATATCACCTTCTTCAATTGCAATCCCGTTTTAATGAATATTTTTATTTTTTTTTATAAAAATAGGGTGAATAACTGATTTAGAATGCCATTTTCCACCAGTGTTGATCACCTGTCATCGGTTGTGCAGATCCATCATTGGAAGTGGAATTCAAAGGAAAGGAATTTGGTGGTTCTGGCTCAGAAGACCCCAAGAATTTCCAGTCATAATTAAATCAGAATTGGAGATCCTAATGTCATTCACTTCTACTTATTTATGTGAAAATCATTTTCAACCTACTGTACTGGAAAAACAAACATCGATTACATATCTCATTTGAAACCTTGGAATCACACCTTTGTATCATGATATCAAGCATCACCCCTCTGATTCAACATCTGTGCATGAATTTGCAGGCACATTCATCTCATTGATGTGAGTAAACTTTTTGCTTTTACTTTTATCTTGTTTGCCACTGATCGACTCGTTAGCCACTTGGGTGGTCAGTCAGGTTTCTGTTATGCACTGTTGGCAAGTACTGTACTGGTTCCAAGATGTATCTGTACCTACACTAGTGATAGTTAAGTCTGGCAGATTGTCCAAGAGTTTATAATTCTCACTCCAAAAAAGTTTACCCTGACAATTTTCAGAACTTGTGGCTTCTTCAACCTTGAGCTGTGACCTCTAGTGGAGCAAACATTTGCCAGCTCCAGGTACGAATACTTGACTGAGCAATATATTCTGAGATATTGATAAACTTTAATTTGAGTCAACCCTTGCCCGCCTTTAGTACAGTATAAACTAAGCAATTTCAGGCATTCTAATTTCTCTGGGTAACTGAGGTGCCGTAACGCAGGCATGAGTCTGGTGGCCTCCCTTTGGACACTTTTATTCAACTGACAGTCTCTAGCATGTCTCAGGAACCAGACTGGGTGACAGTACTCCAAACAGGGAAGCACCTCACTTGTTGAAGATCGTTACGAGAGAACGAACCTTCTAGATATCTGAACAACCTTTTTATAAGACCAAAGAGCTTAATTGTTTGATCCACCTTCTTCTCACAATGGCCCAAGAACTTCACTTCATTATCATCATACACACCCAGGTCCTTTTCACATTTGGTCTCCCTTAATGATGTTTCTTCGTCCTATTGGGACATGTGACTGTTGGTACAACCTAGGTGCACCCTCCTACACTTCGACCACTTTTGAAGATGCCAGAGATCTTTCTGCAGCTCTTCACAGTCCATTTCGTTCTTAATTTCCCTGAATAACTTTGCATCATCTGCAAACATTTGTATGGAGGAGCGTATAGCTTCTGGCATGTGATTTATGAAGCAAACAAACAGCAAAGGACCCAGTACTCATGATGATTTTGTGCTATTAATCACCACACACTGCTTATGGTCATGAAGAAAGTGTCCGATCTACAATAGGATGCTTCCCGAATTCTGTACCCTTCCAGTTTATTTTTCATCCTTTCATGGGGTATGCTGTCGAAAGCCTTGGTAAAGTCCAGATATAAATTATATCTTCGTTAGCCAGAACAATTGGTGCACAACACTTCCGAGAACGAGAGATTTCTGAAAGCCAGAAAAAATCCCCCATCCCTGGAATTTTCCGAGTACTGGGAAAATTTTCTTTGAATTTTCCAGAAAATGTGTCCCTCGCAAAATCGTTTACAAAGATAAAATTTTTCAGAAAATTCTAGCTTTAGGAACGTTTTTCCGAGAAAATTTAAAGTCCAGCAATTGGGGACTTCCAGTTAAGAGGGATTCCAGCTAACGGAGATATTACTGATAGTGTCAATACTACCTCCTTGGTCCAGTGTCTGGGTCTACACATCTAGCACCTTAAGTAATTGCATCAAACAGGAGCATCCCAGTATAAAACTGTTCTGCCATTCCTTTACAAGGTTGTTTCACGGTGGAAGTTCCATCAAGGCATCTCGTACAATGCTCTCTAGTATTTTACACGCTATGCACCATGCTGGTCAGGCTCACTGATCTATAATTATTTGTGGAGTGGCAATCTCCCTGTTTGAATATAGAGTCACATATGCCATTTGCCAATCGTTGGAGACCTTTTGCTCATCTATGCATCTGCAAAACAGGATTTTATGGGGCTCAGTAAGCTCGTTGCACAACTCTCTTAGTGCTCTGGGATGCACACTGTCAGGGCCCGGGCTCTTATGAACATTTAGCTTTGACAATTTGTTCCTCATACTCTTATCTGACAACATAATGTGCATCAGTGCTGTGTCAAACCGTCTTTCCTGAACCTGGCATACATCCTTCTCTTCTGCTCTTCATTTGTCTCGACCCATCTCTTGAATTTCTCAGATTTCTTCTAAACTTTGACAACTACTGCATAGTTTACGTGTAATAGTCTCCGAGTATTACTGGAGTCAGTAGATTTGGTCTTGGGTATATCTTTATCAATCAAAAACTTCGCTTTACTGATTCTTCAAAAGGGTCCAACCCCTGCACTCTCACCTTCTAGCATAAATAACCGCACATCTCTTGCAAGTTACCTGAGAAAGGTTCATAAATGTGTCATATCCATATATATTAAGATTACAGTCCTCCAGGTCGATCCTCCTGTTCTTATACAAGTTTAACAACACCTACTATACCAGGTTGGTGGGTATTAAATAAGGTTGCAAACTCTGCTTTCTTGTCGAGAAGAGTGGCAGTCTTAGTGTACATGACTCCCAAGCCGGCAACAGTTCTCGGAAGCGACTCCAATCTTGGTAGTGACTCCAGCCTCCTACCATTCCCAGCAATTGCCCCGTTTACTATTATTATTATTATTATTATTATTATTATTATTATTATTATTATTATTATTATTATTATTATTATTATTATTATTATTATTATTATTATATTTTCGCCCCCAGGCCCTAATGTGTGTCATTGACCTGTGCCCTGGTGGGCTAATCCCGTAAAAAAAAAATCATCATCATCATCATCATCATCCTCATCATCATCAACATCAATCTCCATTTATCAGTATGGGACAGAGATGTTGCACCACTCCCCAACATCACTCTACGGAATTTATATCAAGACGATTGTCTTTCCTCATAGGAAGCATACACATAGGATGAATAAGAGCACCAGCAAATGAAATAACTACGATATATTTATTAATAAGCTCTTGATAATGTATCTTATGATCAACAGATTTAAAAACACGAATTGAAACAGTATAAAAACCACCATATACTATATGTATTACCAATAAAAAATTACTCCACAGAATACACTAATTATATGATGTATGTAAAAAAGGGCAGAATATAAAATGCGAAAATTTATGTAAATACTGATAACTAAGGTTTACATGTTTAGCAGACAAAGCAAAATTAAAAGCCGTACCAGAAACTAATGACATGAGCAGGACGGAAAACAACTGCTTATACAATACAGTATGCATCTCAGTGGAAGACACATCAATAACCACTGTCCTCTACTAAGAAAAATATCATATAAGCATGATTAATAGTACAGTAATCAAATGTTAGTATACATTCAGGAGCTTGTACATACCAAGTACCTGCCAAAAATGTGTAACAGATAACAGACCAAAAGTCTCACTGGCTAGTAAACTAACAATGGCAAAGAGGAAAGGAAAAAAATCTTGGTTGACTAAATGAGAGTAGTAATTAATGTTAGAGAAGTCCATATAGAGTAGTGAGTCCCTTTCTAGGATTAAGAGTGTTAAGGGGTTGTTGAAATACGTGGGAAATGAATCCAAAGGCTTGAATTTTCATCAGTTTGAAGCACAAAACCTCACTGATGACAAATGCCTTGACCGGTTCTCCAAATTTTCTGGCAGAAAATAAGACAGCACAAAATTACTGCTATAAGGAGAAATTGCATGCAGCCTTGGTTCTTAACTCTGAAAAACAGCTTAGATTAAATTAGTATTTAAGACTTGTGATTTGCCCTATATATCAGTCATTCATAAATGACCAAGTGATCCCTCCCTTGTTAACAAACAAATTTCCTATGATGACTGAGAGTTACCTCGTGATACAAGTCACCAGCAATATTGAAAATGAGGGACATAAAACAACAACAAACAAAATTCATTAAGAAAATATTGTAATCCTTCTAAGGAAAACTGTCTTGCCATAATAAACTTTGACTAGTGCAAAGATAGAAACACTGGCACTTATCTATCTCTTGTAAGCATAACTGGAGATTAGAAGAGATAAATCTACACCCACACTGTATAAATCTGAAGGTGAATTGATGTCAAAATTGAAATTGCGCATTCTAACTGGAAAGATTAGCACTTTTATGAGTCAATGACATGACATCCTTTTGTGTTTAAGGTTAATTCCTAACTCCAAGGCACCTTCATCACTTAATTTATAGGGAGAAGGTATAGCTAATCTTTTGATGAATTAAAACAGAGTCTGTTAGGCCCGAATTCAGAACAGTGATCTAAAATCGCATGAAGGTTTAAACCAAGGATCGAGCGAAGATTGAAGATTGTTGGTATTCAGAACGCAGGCTTGAGCCAACTCAAAGATTCAAACCGCGTTAATCCAGCCTGGAGGCAGATTTGGCAGTCACTCCTTCAAGCGAGTCAACATGAATTTTGACAGAGAGCGCGGTTTTCGGTGATATCATCAAATTGTAAGTTTTATAGAGAGAAGACTGATGGTAGATAGGCAGAATCCTATCAATTTTTATGATAGCACGGAATTTAAACAACAATATAGGTTCAGCAAGGGAGATTTCCTTGATATTTTCCGTGATATGGTGCATCTACTTGATAGACCTGTTGGCTATGGTTCATCTCTACCTCCCATTCATCAGCTGATTCTTCGCAACGAATAGTTTCCAGGTAAGAAAGATTCTGGTTACTGAATGAGTTATGGTAATGTGTTACAACACTTTCGTGTTTAGGGTCCATGAGGATCAAACGGGTAAATGTAAAGAACGCTGACAGTTCTGTATTTTAGTGTTTTTCTTTCGGGAAAACTATTTTGATGTATTTTCAATATAATTGAATCAATTCTGAGTGCATTTTGATTTTAATGTATTAATAAAGAAAGGATTTTTCTTTACATTACTAATCAGGGGAAATGTGGGGTTAAAAAAAACAGAAAGAAACTTAACCTAACTGAACCTAGCAAGGTTACTACGCCCTGAATTGATTCATCCTGCTTTGGTTATGAATATCGACACCTGTCCCAGATTATATCTACAATTTGTATGTAATTGTTCTTCCTCTATGAATTTCTTTGTTATCATAACAACATAGCCACGTTGTAACACAGTACCATAAATCATTATAATTTGATCATAATTTGTTTGTAATTATAGTAATAAAAATAAGTTTTGATGTGCAAGGAGAGATTTCTCCTCCTCCGTGAAAACTCGTCGAGTCATAGTTGCCGCCATAACTTGTAAACATTACTCTCGATGGCGATTGGCTGTCGTAATGATGCAGATGAAACGTGATTGATTGGAATTTCAGGGTTCGAATCCATGCTCGTAACTGAAGAAAATATAACAGATTACCCAATCCGGGGTTTAAGCCGATGTTCTGAATATGGGTAATCCACTGCAGAAAATCTCGGTTCAAGGAATCCTGATTAGCATGCCTCAGCCGAGCTCAAATCCCAGGCTCAAACTACCGTTCTGAATTCGGGCCGAGAGATTAGTTTTGATTTTAACACCGGAGACTTAGTTGATTGCATAATATACAGATTTCTTAAAAGATTTGTTTTAGCTGATACATTATCCATTTTTGTGTTCTCATATAATGATTATTATTTATTAAAAACTTCTGCCACCAGTTCCCTGTTAGTAAAAAAAATATGATAACCAGAGCAAACAAAAGTTCCGTGTTCCCTATTCTGATACAGGTATTTACACAACAAGCAATGACTTCGTATAAGGATTTTAAGAATCTAGATTTTCACTCCTGTTTAGAATTTGACATGAGCTCAACTGAAGGAAAGACAAAAGTGCCCTGTGGTTCACATTTGCAGAACATTCCATCTTCAAATATCACCTTTCCATGTAAGACTGTCTTGTATACTTTACCTTTTAGGGTCTTGCCAACATAGGGTGTTATCTGCAAAAATAATATTCTTATGATAAATTCTGCAAAACAAGCAGTGGTAACAGGTATATCTTTCACCATTATGTCCTGCTTAGCCTGGTCACACATGAGAATGGCGTCATCAAGTATGACCTTACCAAACATCACAGATTTACTCCTATGCAGGAATGCCTCACTTTTCGCAACCCCGTTTATCAGCAATTGATGCTTTAAAATCCCTATTCGATATTTGCAAAGCATACCCCACTTATTCGTAAATGAAAAATTACGATACCCTACAGTAATATTTCAAACCAGGGAGGGGAGAGGGGGGGGAGGGCTAGCCACAGCTTTCATATTTTAACGTAAGGCCTGTTTCACACAAGAGCGCTTTTTTTCACGCCTAGGGCTTGCGTGTGAAAATTCACTAGTCGGAGACACTCAACCCACACTTGTACTTGTACTTCCAAACTGCGGCGGCAGAAAAATACACCAAGCGTTCTAGAATTCTTCGTACAACGAGTATGTTTTTCCCACTCATCAGTTGTGGTGCATCTATGGTAGGGGCTGGAAGTGCAGGTGATAACTTTTGTCAGATGCAGGCAAACTGAAGCGTAAAAATCACGCCCATGTAAACACATGCTTTCTCCCATACAGAGCAAAAACAAAATGTAAAGTAGGCCTAAGTAAAGCCCGACGTAAAGAACATGTGTGTGTGTGTGTGTGTGTGTGGACTTGGCGGGTTGCCAACCACCTTATTGGACCAACTTTAGAGTAGCGTTGTTATTTTTAACTTGTAATTTCAGGTAGATATAGTACATACTTGTATTAAATTTATTTGACTCGGTTTTATGTCCAACCAATTGTTCATACAGAATGTTTAAAAAAATGATTATCATAAGGCCAAAAACAATCATTTCTTATGTCCGCAGTAGTTAGTGTAAGATCGTCGGAGAGGAAAGGGGAGAGCGGGAAGGGGGCACAGGGAAGTGGGTTCACCGAAGTGGGTGGAAGGTGCAGCCTGAGGATGGTGGTAATCACAGGAGTATGGTGTGGGGAAGTGGTAGTAGGGTGTGGCGTGAGAGTGGTGGTGATCATGGGAGTGGGGTGCGAGGGAGGTGCACCTCCATCTCGGTCCATCTTAAAAAAAACAACTCGGCCCATCAAATACCAACTCGGACCATCTCGGATAACCAACCTTTAACTAAAACATTCTACCGAATGTTTATATCACCGTCATAAAATAAAACATTTATTACCTTTCCTTTAACTAAAACATTCTACCATATGATCGTGAAAACTCGTACATAAATGAATTACAGAACTGAAAATGTCATCTTGGACTGACTTGCCACCAGCATAGCGGTCCTGGCAGAGGGTCTTCGGCCTTGTCTGGAGGTTCTTGTAAACTCGTTTTTGGCGCTTCCTGGTAATGATTTTTAAACAGTTTATTCAGCCAGAAGAACACAGATACAACAGAGTCGATTCTTTGATGATACAACGGCATGGTCGTTGAGAGAAGGGGTATCGCCTTTGATGATGGATTAATTGGATTATGTGACCTCGCATGAGGTGACCTAACACAATGTACCCACAGAGAGCGACCTCACTTTACCTGGAGACCTGACAACGACACCCAATGCTTGTCAAGTCACAAAGTCGCCGACTAACCTGACTGACATGTCAGCCGGTGCGCAGGTTAGGTCCAAGGCGGGCGGGAGTCATGACGTCAGGTGAACCACTCTGCCTGCGTCTCCTTGTACTTGACAAGTTGACCCCAGTCTTACCGGGCCATTTGTATGTACTATCGTGCACAAAAGTCGTGTCCACTACCCAGCCACAGTGAGGTTTCGAATAGCCTTGAGTCTGAAGTTTCGAAACAGCTGGGAGAAATGCTATGGTCGGCCAACAGATGTCGCCCACTGTAGTGTGTGTGGAAGGGGGGGGGGGATAGAGGAGGTGGGGGTTAGTCTAGTAGCAGGCTGTGTTTAGGTGGAGCATAACATCGTGAATTCCGCAATCACTGATAACAATAAGAATGTCATGAAGATAGTTAATATGATTAAGCACGGTGAGACGTGTAACGGGTAAATAAAAGCACTACAACGACAATATCTCTGCCGTTCATGGCTACGACGCAAAGGGACCGATTGCCGGAAGTTGAGCCACCAAGGCTGGCGCCACTCCACACCAGGGGAAGGAAGTGATGTTGAACATCAAACATGCCGAGGTCTCTTCCTACCATTGTCGTCACCAACAGGTAAGTCATGACACCGTCAACATAGCCCATGTCGTTCTTATCCCATTGCAGGGTGTCCCATTACGACAGTGAGATATTTGTAGAGGTGAAAGAATATTTGATATTGGTTGAAAATCTTCTATACACATAATCATTTTTCGGTTTACTTTAGGCGAGGTGGCTGTAAAAAAAATTACGTAGCGAAAAATTTTGCCATGTTATATTTTTTCTTTCTTACCAATTGCAGCCATATCATGCGCCAAGGTTGCAATCCTTATTGGTGTGTGGATTACATAAGGCCTATTAATAGCGTGAAACCCGTTTGAAGATACTGTTATGTTCCATAACCTGCATTAAACAACATCATACGTTCACGAGTTCCAACCCGCGCTTCCAGCCTTCCCCCACCCCACCCACCCAACTATTAAACCTCACACTTGAGCATCGTGGCAAACTACACCTAAAACACTAATCGACCATTTATTCTCCCCACACTACCCTCTACCATCCCCACCCACCCTCCCTCCCCCACCCTTCCATCCCATCACATTACCTTCCCTGCATTCCCAACCCTCCCCTATTCTCCCACCCATGGCGACGAATTGACTTACTGTAATGAACACTACAGAACCGACGACATGGCCCCTTGTATTTAGAGTTAAAACTCACCAACAAAGGTCAATCCACGTGAATTTGAACCGATTAAGAGCAAGGCGACAGTGTAGAACACCCACAGCACCCCCTACCCTAACCTAAAATCAGCAGCCACCATGTCTCTATCTCCATCCGTTTCTCTCATCTATAATAAAAAGTGTAACCCTACCAGAAAAAATAAATCAATGGGGCCCTCCAAACAAATTAAAGATGAGTGCACCCCACCCAAACAGGGATGGGCCTACTTCTTTCGCTTCTTTTTCCACATCCTTTCCTCCCTCCCATCGCCCCAGTCACCCCAACCTACTACCCAATACTCACAGTAAGAAGGTCACACATTTTCTTTCCTCCCAAAAAGTCTGTCTGTTTAACCTACATTCTTTTCACCATTAAACTTTCTTCCCCTTCCTATATTTCTATCGCCATCGGTATCTCCCGCCCGACTCGCCATTTGTAATGTATGGTTTTGTGTAATTGTAAAAATCCACCTCACAACCGTTAAACGTAAACCGAAAAATCCATATGTAGCAGAAAACGTTTTATATATCAAACCCTAACGTAATGTAAATCATTACAGCGTATGTAATCTGGGACGAAATGTCATAGTTGAAAAACGTCAAAGAAATATGTGGAAGCAGTGGAAACCATATTTTGATTATCGGCGAGGCTAACCACTCATAAAAAATTGGGTTATTTGACGATTGGCAAAAGTCCTGGGGAAATGAACCAACAAGTCATGAGCTAAAATGACTGTAAATCATCAATTTATCCTTGTCACCATCAAACAATCTCTTCCTTGACGTCACAAACCATTCTGAATCGTCTACATCTGGGCATACGCGATTGACGCATGGCCAACTCCATGTCTTCCCCAAATGGTACCCACATATATGCTTATGCTGCAAACACAACAATAATAGTCCAACATATTCTCATTGAATGCTCTATTTATAATCGGTATCGAACAAGGTGCTTCACTAACCCCTACAATGTAAGATATTTTAGCAGAGACCCCAAAAATCTTCCCTAAGTTCAGTTTTTGACCTTTTGAAATACTGTAATCTCTCCAAACAATATAACACTAAATTATAGACATGTTAAATATATGTTAATCAATCCTCTGGCCAGCCTCATATGAGAGAATCAAATGGGTGTCAGTGGTCTGTTAAACTAAATCTCAGATGATGATGATGACGGCGAATGTTCACTCCTACGGTCGCAGGGTGGTGAGGTTTAGGGGAGGGGATCCACGGTGTCTACTCTGAATACATTAAATAGAAGGTTTCTTTGCCAGATGATCCAAAAAGATTTTACTCAAACGCTATGTCAGAGTATAATACTCTAACCTAGGTGTTACTAATACTATTAATTTACTCTAGTATAAATGCCAGCATCAGTTACTACAAATAATATTACTCTGTTATTTCAGATATGCCTGCAGGATGAGCAAATTGCTTGGCAGTGATTGCTGAGCGAGGCCAAATCATTTGGCGTTGAGCCGGGGGCAATTGTGCCGAACAACGCTGTGGGCGAAAAGGAGCACCAAGACGATTAGGAGGTATCCGCCGGTGGGAGGAAGAGGGCCCAGTGGAGACGAAACTGAAGCAGCTGCAATGGTACATCCAATGCGAAAATCAGTGGCGGCTACAAGAAATCTGGGCGTCCGCCATCACATGACGACGAGACGCCGACCTTCATGAAGCCGGGATCGACTGCCATATTCCAGCTCACAAAGGGTGGCTTACACCCACTCAAGGCGAGTGTTGACTCCGCTTGCATTGGAACACCTTCCACATAGAGAAGAACATCGAGAACCATTATATTTACTGATGAAACGGTGTTCGACTGCGGGAGCCGAAGCAAGGCAGAGCTGCGGCCCTCAGAGAAACACATTCAACATCGTGCAGTGAGAGGGTAGGGGTGTCAGTGTCATTCTGGGGGTGGATGGGCAAATGGGCCAGGTGAATCCGGCCAAGATCACGGCTATTTCACTGGTGAGCAGTGGCGTAGACATCCTGAGCAAGTGCTAATTCTAAGAACTGGGCTTGGCGAGTAGTTCTAGCCCCCCACACTATCAGGCTGGTTCAAGACAACAGTCCCATTCATACCAGCAACATAGTGCGCAAGGACTACCTCCAGG